AATCACCGCTTTAAAACGATAAAAAAGAAACAAACGCACGGTTTATACAAATTCGAAAAAAACCGCAGTAATACCCGCACTCGCGTCGTCGCAACAGGATTCGTCGAAACGTCCGCGCTAAATGCTAATCGAATGACCAGAAAAGTTGTAATCGCCGGAAACACGGCGAAAGACCGAAGTTCGGCGTGGTCGGCTTTACATGCGATTAGCAGGTTCTATCCGGTGACAAAGTAAAAGCGAAACGCAAGAGAATTTCTCCGCGGGACGTGCTAATTGGTAAAAAAAGAACAAAATCGTCGGAAGATCCTGGTCCTCGGAGAAAATCGAAGGCTCTCCGAGGGACGAAACCGGCGCCGATTCAATTTCGCGGGCAAGTAACGTGGAACTTCTCCGGGCGCCATTAACACGGTCATAAAGCTCATCCTCCGGCTGGTTCTCCCGGCGGAATTTCTTCGATGACGTCGCAGTCAGTGTCTCTCACCTCGCCGTTTGGGTGCGCCGAGGCGGCCCCGCGTCGCGCGCCCCGCTTTTTCACGGTTCCAATTGCAATTGCAATCGCATCATTCGCAGGGACACGTTCGTGAATCTGCCCTCGATGAAGAGCCTGTACCTCTGCCACAACAACATCAGCACCCTCCACGACAAAGCGTTCATGCACCTGACCTCGCTCGAGGTGCTCGAACTGAACGACAACCAGATCAGCGTGATCACCAAGGACAGCTTCCACGGTCTGAGAAGCTTGACCAAGCTGGACCTGCGGAACAATCTGATCGCGATGATCGGCGCCAGCACCTTCATCGAGATGTCCGCGTTGCGCGAGCTCCGACTGGACTCGAACAGGATCAAGTACATCATGGGAAAGGCGCTCGACGGTTTAAGGAACCTGCAGAAGCTCAGCCTGAACGACAACAGGCTCACCAGCCTGGAGCCGGACTTCCTCGCCGGAGCGCCTAGTCTTTACTTCCTGGACCTCAGGGACAACCTGCTGAAGACAATCACCTTCGACAACATCAAGCCCATCGCGTCCAACTTGTACAACAGCTCCAGTCACTTCTACATCACCGGTGAGTCGATGCATGTTTGTTTGTTTCGTTCGAAGTTAGGTAAATTAAACCGCAGCGAGGATACAGTGAGTACAGGTGTTCTAGGAATGTTTTGCGATCTAGAAATAGGTTCTTTAGGTAATCTGAAGCAACTTTTTCCTTTGCGGAAATGTTCTGCGAGCCGTCGTTCACGAGTTATCGACGAAAGAATGGGGGCCAATGAGAGGCGAGCGCGACTGGCGCCAGACGGACCAGCCGACGAGCGCGCGCGGCTAGTTGGCTCGGGCGCCGCGCGGCAGCCGCGCTCGCCCCTCATTGGCCACCGTTCTTTCGTCGATAACTCGTGAACGACGCATCGGAGAACATTGTCGCAAAGGAAAAAGTTGCTTCAAATGGCCCGAGGAATCCCTTGGTTCCGGTTTCGGAGACATTTTTGGGACACTCTGTATCTCGAAGAGTAATGGAATCTAACCTGACGTCGTCTTATTTTGGGCGGGAGGGGATATGCGGGTGGGATTTTCGAGTTGAGATGTAGCTTTTCTAAGTGGTTTGTTTTCGAACTGGTGAACTACGAATGACGGTCGGGAACTGAAAGTTGTGTAGACATCGACTGCACGGTGACCGTTCAAGTGTAGCGTTCGAAAACTTAGGAATCTGTGAACTGTGACGTGTTTCTCGACGGCGGGTCAAAATAACATTTCAGCACTTTGGAATTATGGCAGTCAAACAATGTGGAACAAGTTGAAAATATTTCAGGCTTTGTTAGACATTCTTTTAATTTTGAACTTTGCCGGATGTACTATGTGCATCAAAACTACTGTTCTGCATCCAGAAATATAATTCTTTATCAGTTGATTCTGTAATTATAAATTAATGTATTATTATATATATATATTGTATTATATATATTAATATCATATTATTATATACATTATATTATATATATTAATATTATATTATTATATAGATAGCATTATATATATTAATATCATATTATTATATACATTATATTATATTATTATATATATATTATATATTATATTATTATAATATTTTTATTATATATAATTATAATTGAATTGCAACATATAGGATTTACATATTTATCAGAATAAAGTTCGTGAAAAGAAATGCTATATTCTCAAAAGAATTATGCAATTTGAAACGTTATTAGTGCGAAGTAAAAAATTATGCAATTTAAAATACTACTAATAAGGAAATAAAAAAATATTACTTGCAGCGTTCTTCCATGCAGCCACAAAATTATGAATTGAATGAATCAGATTTCATTTCATTTGATATTCAATTTTTAATAGTTTTCTTCTTTTTTCCATATAACACTGAGTCTGGAAAATCATTTCTGGATGCTCATTTTTAATATCTTTTTTTTCTGACAGTATTGACAGAAAAGTATGATATGAAATTCCGAAAGAAACGACGAATGGGGGCAGAATATCCTCGGGATGTTTTTAATATTTAATTGCAAATCAAATGCTGGGACGTCATCTATAATATTGTCACAGGTCGTACAAATTTTTAAGGAGCGGACGGAATTTTTATTAAAATTTAAGATCGATTCTGAAATTAATCTTCTCATGTCATATTTAGACTGCGGATTTTATGCATTCATATGAAAAATGAGTAAGTCGAACGCAAATGTATGAAGAGGTTAGAAAAATTTAAGGACATTTTTTGCACTATTTTCGACATATTGCATACATTAAAACAGAAAAGACTTTTTTTATCGAACTGATATTTCTTACAATTAACGTCAACAATTCTTCTGATTTTGCATAAAAATCCGCAGTCTAGTCATTTTATATATACGTCTATCTACAGGGAGACCCAAAATTATGGTACTTCTGGGAAATTAGAGATTCCTGAGGTTATTCGAAGCAACTTTTTCCTTTGCAAAAATTTTCTCCGATGCATCGTTTACGAGTTATTAACGAAAAAAGGCTGACCAATCACAGGCGAGCGCGGCTGGCGCGAGGCGTCCCAGCCAACCAGCGCGCGGGGCCCAGTTCCGCTCATTGGCTCGGTCGCCTCGCGCCAGTCGAGCTCGCCTCTCATTGGTCAGCCTTTTTTCGTTGATAACTCGTAAACGATGCATCGGAGAAAATTTTCGCAAAGGAAAAAGTTGCTTCAAATGAGCCGAGGAACCCGCCACTTTCGGATTGCGAGACATTTTTGGGACACGCTGTATATTCAGCCGCGAGATACGAGGTTACATCCCGCCAATAGCCATAATTAACGAAAATCTCTCGAATCTATCCGCGTTCTAATTACCAAACGTTAATACCACGGATTTATTCTCGTATCACCGCGCGACCATCAGACATTCCCGAAGTTGAATAATTCAGCGGGACGAAGTTCGGCAGTCAAATCTGAGATCCGATGAATTTTCCCGTCTCGCGACGCGCCAACACGGTCTCGCGGTGACCGCCGAAAATTTTGATTTAATAACACGGGGGTACCTTTACGAGCAAGAAATTCGACGGCAGTGGCCGCGGGGAAGTTCGATGAAACAGCCGTAACAATTTTATAGGGGCGGCGGCGGCGGTGGCGGCCCACCCTTGCCGGAAGAACACCGGCTAGAAGTTATAAAGTCGCCGCCCGGTATTTCGAGAGAGCGAGCCGGCCATTTTTATCGCCGGTTAATAGATAATTTCCTAAACGGCGCCCGTAACGATCCCCCCTCTCTCCCCACCCCCTGTTAAACGGTATCGCCAGCTGGAATATCTGAAATATCTGAACGACCGGAGAAGCCGCGCGCGCGCGCGACCCGGTAATTGCCGGCGAGTGAATCATTAGTCGGCGGCGGGTTGTTATCGCGTCGGCGAATCTTTAATTCCGCTCGTTAGAAAGCGATGCGTGCCAATTTTCGCGTTGGCGGTCGCTTCGCCGCGGCCTCGAAGGGAACCACTGAACGCGAGCATCGTCGTCGCGTTCTCGCCGTTAACCCTTTCCGCCAGACGCTCTGATTATCTGCTCCGCGAGGCTCGTCGATCCTCCCCAGTCAGAACCAGCGGGCGTTCCTCGAATGTTTGGCCCAACTTCGCCACCGTAATCTACTAACCGTGTTAGAACTTCTCGCCGGAACCTGGCCTTATGACACGTGCGCTCGGAACGGTGCCATTCCGGGGGACCGTTGCGGAAGGGGTTGAAAAAAGTAGCTTCGCGAACGGTGTACAGTCAGAATTCGGTTACTCGAGGTTCTGTGAATCGCGCGTGAACGCGTGAAATGACGGATTTTTTCGTAAGTGAGAACGTTTGTTTGTACGTTTTTATTGTCGGGAAAGATATGTCTCTCTTACTGACGCTCGGATTGTCCACTGAAATGGACATCTTGGGAAGAGGAGATGCGATTATTCGAGCGGTTCTCGTTTTTATAGTTACGAATTATTCGACAACCATAAAAGAACGAGCTGCAAGGCTCGAATAATCGTATCTCCTCTTCCCAAATTGTCTATTATAGTCGAAAAAGATATGTCTCTCTTAGTGACGCTCGGATTGTCCACTGAAATGGACATCTTGGGAAGAGGAGATGCGATTATTCGAGCGGTTCTCGTTTTTATAGTTACGAATTATTCGACAACCATAAAAGAACGAGCTGCAAGGCTCGCATAATCATATCTCCTCTTCCCAAATTGTCTATTATAGTCGAAAAAGATATGTCTCTCTTAGTGACGCTCGGATTGTCCACTGAAATGGACAACTTGGGAAAAGGAGATGCGATTATTCGAGCGGTCCTCGTTTTTATAGTTACGAATTATTCGACAACCATAAAAGAACGAGCTGCAAGGCTCGCATAATCATATCTCCTCTTCCCAAATTGTCTATTATAGTCGAAAAAGATATGTCTCTCTAATTGACGCTCGGATTGTCCACTGAAATGGACATCTTGGGAAGAGGAGATGCGATTATTCGAGCGGTCCTCGTTTTTATAGTTACGAATTATTCGACAACCCAAATTGTCCATTTTTCTGCACAATCTGAGCGTCAATTAGGGAGACATCGCTTCGTATCGCGATTAGTCACTGCGCAAACGCTCGAAGATCGGATCCGCGGCGGCCGGCGAAAGGCGAAGGCGGCATTTCGCGAAGCAGGCGACCGAAATAATTGTTGTTATGACGAGAAGAAACGGGAATGGAAATGGGATTATTTAACTTCGATGCGGAAGTTATTCGGCATAATAGAAAGTGGGCGGAGCCGAGTGAACTCGTTCCGAAATTAGTGGAACGTTCCCGGTAGCCGAGCAAAGTGGGCCTCACAATTGGACAACCATAAAACGCTATCCGTAACTAGCCTCGTAAACCTTGAGGATGGTTGTTGGCCGTGCTAGTTCGCCCTGTTCTTCTTCCTTAGTTTGAAATGTAAATAATCCCGGGCACAATATTTCCATCCAGAGCGCGCGGTTTCCGATATAACGGGGCTGGTCCGTCTCCGCCAGGGTTCCATCCATTCTGAAATTACCATAGACCAGCAAAAAGACCGGCCCTGGTTGTCTGGCCGTTGCTACCCGTAGAAAATAGCGACAGTTACAAGAATTCGAACGATGCCACTTGTCGAACAAATTGGTCGCGATGCTCGCTGTTTACTGTAATTTCACCCTAATTCGCGGTCGGATCGCGCGCGAAAATCGACAATTTGGGAAGAGGAGATACTGTTGTTCGAAACTTCGTGACAAGTTTTTATAGTTAGAGATTGTTAACAACTATGAAAACGAGCCGCGAGGCTGCTCTTCCCGAATTGTCCATTTTTGCGCGCATTCGAAGCGCGAATTAGAAAGAAATTGCTGCACTTTGTACTCGGAAAATAAGCTTTTTCTTGTGTTTCTTTCGATCGGTGAATGTACAATAGGACGAGAAAGTATTCGAACGAATATATAAAAGGTATCTTCTGCATTACTTCGCTCTATTTCTTTCCTGAGACGATGTTTCCTCGTGGTTCTCGATTCTGTCTTTATCTCGGTTCTTTGTACGACCGACTTCGAGGATGGTCATTGATCTTTGAATACG